GAGCCCAAGCTACGCCGATACCATCGACAAGTTCGTGGAAGACAACTACTTCCACTGGGAGTTCAACATGCGGATGAAGCTCGCTCGCAAGTGTTTGCTCCCGCAGATCATTAAGCCCGAGTTCAACCAAGTGAGCGACCGCTCCACGGTTGAATGGAAGACAACGATTTGAAGGCCCTTGGTGTTATCGCTGGAGACGTGAGTCTCACGTACCAAGCCTACATCCGTGGAGCGCTTACCGCCGCTGAAGCGTGGACGTTGCTCGAGGAGCATTTCAATCGGAAGACGCTCAAGAACCGGCTCATTGTTACCAAGAAGCTGCACAACTTCAAGATGGAGCCCGGTACGAAGTTCGCTTTCCACATGGAGAAGTTCAAGAAGCTGGTACTTCAGATGGAGTCAATCGGTGAGTCTCTGGACGAGACTCGGCAGCTGGTACTGCTACTCGGATGCTTGCCTGACGAGTTCGTATGTTTGCCACTGTGTTGGAGAACACTCCCAACGTGACGCTCGCTTACGCAATCCAAGCACTCCTCGGTGTTGAAGCCTTGGATGAATCGTCATCGGCTCAAGAGAGAGTGTTCACTACGTAGCGGAAGGATTTCGGAAACAAGGGTCACTTCAATGGGAAGTGCTTCTACTTCAAGAAGCTAGGGTACAAGGAGTTCGAGTGCCAAAAAAAGAAGGGCTGACGAGGAACGATAACAAGTAACGCAGGCTCAAGCGTCAGAGTTCGCGTTCACGGCTGCGAGTGCGATGACCAAATCTAAATGGCTCATCGACGCATGTACAAGCTCGCACATGACCAGCGTCCGGGAGAAAGTCGTGTTCATGAAGGGCCTGAAGACGCCAGTCCGCATCGCGATAGCGAATGGCACTACGATCGACGCAGTTGCAACGGGCACCGTCTAATTGAAGCTGATGGACGGCGCTATCGGGGGATTCTGTACACCCCTGAAGTTGAAGGAAGCCTCATCTCGGTATCCAAGTTGGCCGAGAAGGACGTTGTCACGCAGTTCAGTAATGACAAGTGTGTCTTCCGATATGGTGACATGATCGTTATGGAGGCCAAGCGTTATGGAAATATCTACAGGGGTGAATGTGACGACGAGTGCATAGTGTGTATCATTGCTTCGGTGAAGGCTGGAATTGCGGAGAAGTTCCTGATCAAGGACCTAGGACGTGCATGCTTCATTCTCGGAATCAAGATCGACTACGACGTAGGGGCCAAGACTCTTCGTATCAGTAAACAAGCGTATACAGAGTTGATCATCAAGAAGTTCCGACAGGAGAATGCGAAGCTGTGCTCTACCCGACAGGAACTGGTATACATTGGAACTAATACAGAAGCCACGTCCCAGTTAGACCTTCAGTTTCTTGATTCGAGCCAATGTCCTTGAGTAGAAGCCGTATTCATACCACTTCCTTCACGCAGTCGCTGAGCGCCATGTACCCGGCTTCAGTAGAGCTCAGTGCCACAGACTTCTGAAAACTTGGGCGCCACACAACAGAACCATCACACGCCATGAGCATCAGGCCGCTCACCGAGCGTTGGTCGTCACGGTTGCCGCCCCAATCTGCTTCTGAGTAGGCCACGAGCTCAGTTCCTTGGCGACCGTCGTACGTGATGCCCACATGCTTGGTCTTCAACAGGTAGCGAACGACCCTGATGCAATGCTTCTGTCCAGGGTTTTTCCAGAAAACGACTCAACTGGAAGATTGCGACTGAAATATCTGGTCGTGTCCCGCATGCCAGGTACATCAGGCGCCCACGAGTGAGCAGTACGGCTTCGACTCCATCTTGCTCTTGTCGCCTTCAGTGTGAGGTTCGTCAGTCTTGGTAAGATGAGCTGAGGGCCAGAAGTAGAGCAGCTACACGTCGCGGCACTTTTTCTCGCAGAATGCGTACTAAAGTCTTTTGTAGTCATTCCATTCGCGACCAAAGCATCTTCGATACCTGTCTGCCTAATTACTCGTTTTATCAACTTGAGAAAGCAGTGTATTGGTTCCGCCGGGATACAGATTGCCATTACTAGCAAATCCAAGAACTGCAAAATAAATTCAACGCAGGACAGATCTTGGGCTTTCGAGGGCTGACGTATACGTGTCGAGGGTCTCGGGGGCGACTACCATCTTGATCGTTTTTCATGTGTGCAGACGTTTTAGTCACTGGATCTTCACTCCACGAAAGATGGGTATGCCTAATCGATTCTGTGCTTTTTGCACGACACATCAAATTCAACAAATCAACAAAACGGGTGGCCGAATATATCCTCCACTTTGCCGGACTGGATCAGTGCTTTTGCAACAGCTCTGTACATCGAGAACGAAAAGGGTTTCTTGCCCTCGCGAAGGCGTTCATTACTACCTTGGGCCACTTGTGCTACGTATGGGAAAGTCCTTTAAAGAATTTCTTCATTTGA